CAGCAAGAATCTCCAGCCCCTCCTTAACCAGGGGCCTCCCCTCCAACATCCCCCACCCCCATCACAGCCAGGACAAAGGGGCTATAGAAGGACTGAGACAGGGCCGGATGCCCAGAGGCTGCAGGATCCAGATAAAGGGTAAAAACACCCAACCATGGCTGCCCCCCTGGCTCCCTTGGGGAAGGTGGCCAGGATCTGAGACTCCTGGGTTCCTGGTTGAAGATTCCGGGGATCTAGAGGGACAGTGATAGTCACTGTACTCTGTCCCTCCTACTCTAGTCCCCAAGCCCTCCGCCCTCCACCAGCTGGGAGTGTTCACATCTCAAGATCCCAGGGTCTAAATTTAGGCCCAGCAACTGTGGGAGAAGCACAGGTGTTTCTCCCACTCCCACTCTGGGGTAGGGGCCCTGGATGCGCCAAACCCCAAGCTGAGGTCTAGGGGGAGGGGAGATCAACAGGATTCCTCCAAGGCCAGTAACACCAGCACCCCTGAGGTGTCCATGGTCCCAAACATACCCCGAAGGGGAGGCTCAGATGGCATGGGAGTGGGAGGAGGAACAGAAGAGCAATCTGACTCCTCTAGGCTCCTAGAGACAGAGACAATAAACAGAATGGGGTGAGAGGGAAGCTGAGTCTAGGAAAGACTCCCCAGGACAGGAGGCTCAGAAGGTGGGAAAGAAGTCCTGTCAGCCCTCAGGTTGGGGAGAGAAAAGACTAACAGTGACAAATACAGGCCAGAAGTCCTTGACCCTACAGCTCCTGGCTGTATTGAGCTCCTAATAGATGCTCAATAAATTTTAACTGATTTGATCTGGGTATTGACAAAGAGAGACTGGTGAAGTTGGAGACCAGCCAGATTTATAATTTTGAAGGGAAGAGGGCAGTCATCCCCTGCATCGCCTCTGCCCTGATGTCACCTGGACTTGGCTCTCTAGTTAATCTCAGCTCTCCCCGGGGCAGGCTCACGCACGGAAGAGGAGGTGCGGCTCTTGTTTTCCCAACACTAGAGAACAACAACCCCCTCCAACCCTTCCACAGCTCCGCCCTGTCGGCAAAACAACAAAATTGGAGATTGAGGAAAACCTGGGGGGGATGGGGGAAGAGGTTGGGGAGCAAACAGACTCCCACCTTTCTCCAAAATCTCTACTTCTAATCATCTCACATTTATAGAATGAAGGTCCCAGCTCCCCTCCCTGCAAGGCCCCCCAGAAGTGTGAACTGTTCCGGCATCAGCCCTATGGGAAGGGTAAAAACAGGGAGTCGGCGATGCACCGGGGAGGAGGTGGTGGTGCAGTTGGTGGCCCGGGAACGTCTCCCCGCAAGGACCCCGCTGAGAATCCGAGCCTGATGGTCCCAGCGGACCCAGGGTCAGCACCCCAGCCTCGCGCCGCCCGATCTCCTGTCGCTGCCCCAGGACTCCGCGCACTCGGTTCGGGGCCCCAGGTCCAGAGCCTGCGGATGCTCCCGCGCTGCTTACCTGCCTGCGAGTTGCCCACCTCGGAGCCCCGGGCCAGGCTGAGAAGGAAACCCAGCACCTGCAGAGCCCCACTGGCCCTCATGACTCCAAGCGGACCGGGGGGGCCCTGGACTAAGACATCGAAACGGAGCCACCTGAGTTCCCGGCGAACTGGTAGCGGCGGCAGAGGAGTTGCAAAGTGCAACCGGAGCCGGAGCCAGAGTCCGGGGCGGGATGGCAGGGGAGGGGTGTGAGTCTGAGAGAGCGAAGGAGGGAGCGCTGGGGAGGGCGCAGGGGAGGGGGTGAGTCACGG